CCAAAGTCTATTCTTCATTTTATTATTTTTTTTAAATGTATGTCGGTGCTGTAAATGTGCCAGAAAGTTTAACCTGGTCTTATAAAACCAATCTGCTGCATCTGACGCTATTACTGAGTCTTTAATATAATGTAATTACCTGAGGGGTCGCAATCCAATAGAACTAGTAACTATAAGCTTATAAAGTTACTATTTACAGAAGTGTATATAGTAACTGTAAACAACATTTTTTTTTAATAGGTTATGGATTAAAATGTTAATTCTTATGGTTTAATAAAAATAAATAGATTTTTGGAAATCACCAGGCGACCCCCCCTTCATTGGCCTGCGACCCCTCGGGGGGTCCCGACCCCCACTTTGAGAACCACTGCACTAACCTGCGCATTATTCAGAAACTAGTTGGAGCCAAACAGTCAAAAACACAACAGAAACTAAAACAGCTGATGGAGTATACACTAACCTGCGCATTATTCAGACACTAGATGGTGCCAAAGAGTCAAAAACACAAAGCTGTGAGACACTAAAACAGCTGATTAAGTATACACTAACCTGCACATTATTCAGACACTAGATGGAGCCAAACAGTCAAAAACACAACAGAAACTAAAACAGCTGATGGAGTATACACTAACCTGTGCATTATTCAGACACTAGATGAAGCCAAACAGTCAAAAACACAACAGAAACTAAAACAGCTGATGGAGTATACACTAACCTGCGCATTATTCAGACACTAGATGCAGCCAAACAGTCAAAAACACAGCAGAAACTAAAACAGCTGATGGAGTATACACTAACCTGCTCATTATTTAGACACTAGATGGAGACTGTCAAAAACACAAAGCTGACAGACACTAAAACAGCTGATGGAGTATACACTAACCTGCACATTATTCAGACACTAGATGGCGCTAAACAGTCAAGAACACAAAGCTGACAGAAACTAAAACAGCTGATGGAGTATACACTAACCTGCACATTATTCAGACACTAGATGGCGCTAAACAGTCAAGAACACAAAGCTGACAGAAACTAAAACAGCTGATGGAGTATACACTAACCTGCGCATTATTCAGACACTAGATGGCGTGTTTGAAAGTGATGGGGTGTCAAGCTGATTTGCATTCGATGTATATCAAGTCGTTACTGTAGTCTAATTACGAGTATTTTAAAAATCTAGTACTCTAATATTTAATTGTTAGAATCTGATTGCATAATTTTGATTACACTTAATCCGCTCTGCATGACACTATCTGCAGACTGTGATTTGTGTAAAAGCATGTGTTTCCATCAGTCCGATGTGAATATATTAATGTGATGTTTCTATTAGCTGCGGATTTGGACTCCTGCAAACTGAACTATTTGCTCATCGGGTCTAAAGGGAGAGAAAAGCATCTGCTGAGCAGGCAGAAGCAGAGCCGCAGGGGTCAGATCATTATCATTAATGCATCTGATTATCATTTTAATTAGTGGAGAACTCAATTAGTAGAGGTCCGGCTCGGGCTGCGGTCCCAATGTCTGTCCGTGTGGACTCGAGTGAGTGTGTGTGAATGTCTGTGGTTTCAACATATCTGAGTAAATTTAACAAAAGAATCATTCAGTTTACTTTAGCTTAGTTCCTTATTTATCAAGGATCGGCACAGTGGAATGAACCACCAACTGTTTCAGCATATGTTTTACGCAGCGGATGACCTTCCAGCTGCATCCCAGTACTGGAAAACACCCATACACACTCATTCACACACACTCATTCTACGACCAATTTATTTAATCAATTTCCCTATAGCGCATGTGTTTGGACTGTGGGGGAAACCAGAGCACCCCGAGGACACCCACGCCAACACGGGGAGAACATGCAAACTCCACACAGAAACACCAACTGACCCAGCCGGGACTCAAACCAGCAATCTTATTGATGTGAGGCCACAGTGCTTACCACTGAGTTACATATATATACATATATATATATATATATATATATATATATATATATATATATATATATATATATATATATATATATATATAATGTAACTTCATGTAACTTTATGAAATGCTTAATTTTTAACTAATGAAAAAAAAAATTCTGAATGCAGTATGCCCAAGAAAAAAAAAATTACAAAACTAAAATTCAACTTAAAATGTAACAAAATAAAATCTATCACTTACATACGGCGCAATAAGGTGCAAGACATGTTTGGCGCGATTTGTTGCTAATTTTAGACCAGCGCAACCCTCATTTTTGCGTTTTGCACCATGTTGCTTAAATAGAAAATCTATTTGTGCCACTTTGTGGACTCATGGGTGTGCTGGTCTATAAAGGAGGTGTGTTAAGGCGCATTGTTAGCACGTTGCTATTTTGAGGAACATGCAGGTCCAAACACTTACACATTGCTGAATACACACAGGATGTACAGCAACACAAAAATATCTTTACATATGAAAATATCTAAAGGATAAAATGAAACAGAAATTATTTTCTACATCAATATAAAAAGCACTGCCTCCATGCCTTCTTCACCTCAGGGGGCCTTTTCAGTTTATTCATGATGATCTGCATCAGTATAATGTGATTATTATGATCAGTATTATTGATTATATGCAGATTTATATTTGCTTTAATAAACACAAGTGTAGATTTGTCCGGCTGTGGGGTTTTGGAGACGTCTGCATCAGCAGACATCAGAACAGGACGTGTGTTTGGATATAACTCAGACCACACTTCATTATTATTGTTCATTTATTTCTCTGCTGGAGATCAGAACTGAATTTAGAAATAGTTTTGACACAAATCTCTGAGCTTAACAAAGGAAATTAAATAT